AGTCTTTAAAAAGAGTGGAAATATCAGGCTCATTCCTTAAACTGTCATGACTATGAAACCTTCAGGGACAATGTGCTTAGCCACTTAGAGAAGAAAAAATGTCTTCAAGAAATATGTACAACAACATACAGCAATAGCAGTTGTGCTCCTGTTCATCAAATCTTAATCTGATTTTATTTTAATCATGTAGTTATCCAATATTCTCTGAGAACTGAATTAATGACTCATTAAAGGACAGCACTGCACTTCAATATCTGAAAGAAAATTTAAGTTTGATCACAAGTTTGTAAGGAAATTACTTTATTTTCAAGGCAAGCTCTAAAGCATTGTAAAGAGGTTAAAATGAGATGACTGACAGCCTTTACTGAAGAGAAGCACAGGTTCAAGTGAGCTCATGGATCTCTCTACTGCTTTCAGGTAAGACAGATAGCTATTCTCCAAAGCAAACTTACAGAAAGAGTAAAACACTATCACACAGAGAACACTGATAGACTAGCACTCAGACTGTGACCGAAGCACTTTGCTCAACTGAATTTGTTATCAGCCAAGCTTTAAATGATTCTCTTGTGCACTATTTATGTATCTTTAAAATTAAGGTTGCACAATTTATCAAAAATTAGCCTAGGAATTTTATGAGGAAGCCTAAATGAGTGAGATACCGAATACTCACCAAATTCCCCATATATAACTCTTGGGGAGCTTTCAAATTATTTTACCTAAACTACTGTAATTTGAGTACTAATAAAATACAATCCACATCACCAAGACAGTACAGTGACAAATAACAGAAGTGGCAACATCTTATATGTACATAGCACCTTCTGTCAGAAAGTAAAGGCGTTTTAAGGATATACATTAAATACAATGACGTGCAATACTTGGAGTTCAGTTCCATTACCCACACTTAGTAAATGAGAAAACACGGCACAGCTGTCTACTAAACATAATACACAAAGCCAATAGCAGGAACAACACTGAATATAGATTCCAAGGGCTTCTTTCCCTGGTGCTTGCAAAAAACGATGCTTTATTTTAAGTCTAAAAGTCAATCTTAGCCAATATTACTCTGTTTTTAAGTATACCTGTGAACTTGTAACTGTTAAGTCAGTCCAAAGTCATAGTAAGGTAGTTTATCAGGATTAATACTATCCTCACACTTCAAAAGAAAAATAAGGGGGGGAAGCATAAAACAAAAAGATTTCCATGCTCTGCTGCTTTATTCTTCTTACGCTTGGTTCAAGTAAGTGTCAACAATTTCAGTGCACAACTCTTGCCACGCCAGAGAGCTGTTCCCAGATTCATTTGAATTTGCAATTATATTGGAATACTCCAAAAGCCCATTGAATTTGGTATAACTTCTCAGGCAGGCAACATTAATTCTTTCACTGGCATGATACTCCTAATACTTTCTGACAATCCTTAAGTACTACTGGTGATGAAGCAGTCACACACATTCAAAGATACACTGGTATGAGTTCAAATATTATAAATTGGAACACTATGAAAAGGTCTTTTCTTAAAGCTTTCCTTAAAATATCAAATCTTAAAGCAGGTAATTTTATCTTAATATAATAAAAAGGGGAAGGAATCAGATTACCTAAAACCAATGTATTTGAAGAGACTAATAGCGCTCTGGGACTTCACACAAGTATGTCACATTTCAAGTGATGACAAATAAACCACAATTTGTTCAGCTTTGGTCAACTTCATTTCAGACACAACTCAGTGCAGCTACACTAGAAATGAACATGGTTTGTCAAATCTTCTTGGGAGCTCAAACAGACTTGACCTAGCTCTGTTAGATTTCGCTTCCTGTTAACATTTTAGTTCAAGATAGTTTATAAATGGAGTAAATCTGATTAGTAAAAAGCTGTTTGTAAAGAACAAGAGCTAAGCACGGCAAAAACAAAGTGTCTGTGATCGTTAGTCAGAGCACTGTATACTCTGTTCTTGAGCTTACAACATGATCAGATGAGGATATAAAATTATGTACTTAGCAGACCAAATTCTGCTGTCTGTTGTATCACGCAATCCCCCCAAAATACACTCAGCTGTATGAGTCCACATGAGAGGACACCTTGGCCAAAAGAGACTTAAATGGTACCTCAGGTAGCAAAGCAAACAGAGCACCAGCATAACTGCACTTCTGCAACAAGAGTCACAACCAGTATATACTCAACTGTACTGAGATGTCTCTACGTATTACTTTCCCCCCCTCCACAAGATATTTCCTCACCAAAGTTCACTCAACATTTTGATGCTCACTAACTTCATTTGAAGACAGTCTCATTTAGCTGATACACACTTGGCTAACATGGCTTCAAGCATAACCAACTTTACCAAGCTGTATACTTACAAGAATTCAAACTAAGGGAAAGTTAGGGGCTCAGATGGAAAAGTTTTCCTGAATTTTGAAAGTCAGTGTTACATAAAATAGTAGATGTTTTGAAAGTCACAGTGTTACATAAAGTTTACTCTGAACACCGGAAGAGTTGTTTGAAGCAATGTATATATAATTCTAAAACAGGAATGTAAGGTTTTATTAAATTCCAGAGGCTGGTTAGAAGAAACCAAGCAGAAAGGTCATCATCCTCAAATAAATTCTTTAGTAGGTTTCCATAACAGTGGCATGAAAACACCCACTTCTACACGATGTTTCTAATACTGTGTCATTACAGATAGAGGTAATGTGGTCACTGAACAACCTAAATGCTTAAAAAATTCCCATACCACAGTGGCTGGTATTGGTACTATGTAGTACATGGAGAATTTCCTTTTTCAGCCCTTTTCTTTCATTTAACATGTATGAGTGAAATTCCAGCAATAACACATCAAGATAAACCTAGTGCATAGTTTAAACAAGTGTTACTGATAGTATCTAATTTGGTTTTGGGTTGTTTTTTTTTTTTTTATCATGACAGACACCACTGGCAACCTGTATGAGAAGATCACTCAGAGGTAGGAAAAAAAATTATTACATGTTCCAGATGTCTGAAGGAGTTTCTGTATTTTATTTCCAATTCCTTTAAAATATTCTGCACAGCTTCATTCTGTCTGCCCTCAAGTAGTACAGAGTACAGGAATGCAGAGAAAACATTTCACTTCTTAGAGGAAAGGCATCAGAAAAGCAGTTTCAAAAAATAAAAATCCTCATTTTACCCTTTTATTTTGTTTTGGTTTCGCAGTTTTTATTGAACCTATTACATCAATATTAATGAAAATTATAATTCATCTGACTTCCCAAAAGGAAGAAAACGAGATTTTATTTGATCCACTGTTAATTCATTCCAGATAACTGCCTAGACTTCAGCTAGCTTCAGGTTAGAACAATATGAAGTCCAAATGCTATGAGGTTTTTTTGTCCTTTAAAATAGTTTACAAAATATAAATTCTTGTTCAGTCTTAGAACCTCAGAGTTCTTTCAAAGTGACGGAATGCTCAGATTAATCAACAACTTATTAGTAATCAAATGTGGGGGTTTTTAAAACAACAAAAAAAACCCAAACCAAAACAAAAAAAAACAACACAAAACCCCAGAAACAGAAAAACAGAAACACTTAAAAAGCATTTTAACAGGAAAATATATTTATTAAAAACCTCCGCTGCCCTTATGAGAACCTATCTAAAATATACCTACCGCCCCTTACAACCATATTACAGTGAACAAAATCAGGTCACAGGCAAAGAGTAGGAGTTTTGTTTCTTGGGAAGATTTTCACAAAGATATGTTTAAGGTAAAAGAACCTCCTATGACTCAATACATAAGCTACATGTTAGACTACATTCTAGAAGAAGTAAGAAAACAGACTATAACAGTTCTTATTAAAAGGATAATAAAAATCCTTGTGTTTTCATATGGGCATAATAGATACACTTAAAAGTTTATTCTGGCAGGCTGTTAAATCTGTTAGTCTATGGCCTTCCCAAACCATGTATTTTAACAGAATTATTATTACCTATTTATAAGAAAAAGAGGGTACCAATTGTTGCTCTATTACAATAGAGCAGTATTTCCAGCCATTTTCAATTTCAATCAATTTTTCAACAGACATAAGAATCATGCACCATAAATATTAGCCTATTGACAAAAGGTTTCCTTTCTTAGTTGCCTCTTATGGAGCTCCAATAAGTGTACAGACTGAAAGCTAAAAAATGTTTCACTAAGAGTAAGTTTGCAATAACTACACTGATTTATTGAATAATAATTTGCCTCATTTGCTAGAAGTACCGCATGTCTTCAGACAACAATTTCAGTCCAGGAAAAAAAACACTGGTGAAACACAGTAACAGACATCAAATATCTAAATAAAGTATCAAAATTGTGATAGTAATGAAGGAAATAACCATTTAATTTGCAGCAAGAGATTCAGAGTAGAATAGACAAAACTCTAAACCCTTTGAAGCAGCTGTAGAATTCTCACTTTTGGGGAAAAGGCAGGAAGAAAACATGAGTCATCGTCTAGATTTTACTACTCCTTTTTTCAGAGAAGTGCAGTAGTTGACTGCTAGAGACCCTTTTCAACCTTGCAGTACTTGACATCACTACAGTATTCGACATTACCATCATGCTCCTGTGGTTTCATTAATAAGAAAAAACTTGTAACTGCACCATTAACAGTTCAGAACAATCAGATTTCAAAGAATTCTCACAACAGAGTGATCTCTTTCATACTTCTAATACGCTTACACAAAACTAGGCTAGCATCTTTACTCGTTTCAATAAAAATAAATTCTGCACCTCCCTTGCTTGTTAGTCAAAGGAGTTGTTTGGGTTTTTCTTTTTAATCTTACTTCATCAAGTAGCTGTAGAGGCATTTGTGAGACGTGCTCTCTTTTTCACCTTATCCTGTTCCATCCTGAATGTTTATGGCATAAAGTTATTTGTAATAGTGTAAATAATGCCAAAATAGGTAACCGTTTAAAAATACTGCAAATTATGCACAAAGTTAATTTCACCATGGCAGAAATAAACACCCTCTAAGTCACACACTTATGCCTACCACAGTCACAGTCACCTGCGTACAGTGAGGTACAAACACCACCACTGCCGAGTGAAATTAATGAAGGTGCACTCAGACGTCCCCTCCACGCATTAGAAGAGCGAGGACGTTTCACGTTCAAATCCGGCTGTAAAAAAGAAGAGTTATTAACGTAGTAATTATTGAAGGAAAAACAACCCAACTGCTTCATCAGGTATGGGGCGGCTTCTCCCTCACACCGCTCTATTCCCGGGCAAGAAAAACAGTTGTTCCTACCTCGAAGATGTCACGTTCTAGGTCAAGTCAGTGCCAGAGCGATTCGCATCGCCACTGCTCTTCACACTTGTTAAAAAACTTCATAAATAAGATAACCCACGCAGAGGTTTCACGCCACGGTCCATCCGTCCTGTCCCGGCCGGGGCGGGCCGGGCCGGGCCGTGGGGCGAAGGGGCGGGACGGTTGGGGCTTCGCCTCGGCTCCCCGGGCGCGGGGCTGCCCCTCCC